GTACGCACAACTTAAGAACAAATCTATGCGTACGAACGGTTCTTGCATGAGGCCCATTGTGTGGCTTCAACTTTCAGTTTCCAGTCCTCTATCTGGATGGTTCAGACTTGCTGTTAGCCCATCAGCCATGTTGGACTGAACTTCACAACTTTGGACTTTGGGTGCCATCAATGAATATAAATTCCTTATGAGGTCTTCACAAACATCTCACTTCAAAATATCTGTGAGATTTAGCATTTCATACAGTTTAGGAATATAAACGACAAACATTTCCTGTCTAAAAAACCCTATTATGCAATAACTCAGTGTGAGGATTTTCAGATGTTTAATAGTGCTTCCTGCTACAGCTGCCAAACTGATGTAACAAGTATTTAATTTTCTTCAACAAGCCCAGCTTCCTCTCTGACTGGGTATTCAATCAGCCGTCTGAAAGCAAAACACCAGAACTGCTGAAAGTCCCTTCAGTGGCCTTATAAATAGAGCACACCTAAAAATACCTTCCTGCTGTCCTGAAAATATAGTAGTTTTGTGGAACTAGTTTGCCTCAGATTGACACAACAAAAAGCAGTGGCGCAGGTCTGACACAGGAGGACCTCACTAACAGGCAAGCACCAGACTACATTCATACATGCAGAGCAGCAGCACCTGAAATGTCAACAGCAGGGTTTCAAGTCACACATAATGTTAGCTGATTGGCTGTAAACAAAAATGTTAGTTTTCTAATGACAAACAAAAACTACCAACTTTAACAGTTTAATGTTTAGTATAAGTCTCAGCTGGAATTAGTATTCAATCATGGCCTGAGTGAAGTGTTGGGCTACAGATGAGCAAAAACGCAGACACTAAAAACATCCACAGAGCAGACTGACTGCACCGTGATACTGAAAACTAATGTTCACAAACAACAAAAATTCTGTTTTTATTAAATCAACAGATTGTAAACATTCTGAGGCTTGAAACGGTACATTTTATTGTTACTGCTCTCACATTCTGCTGCGTTTAAAGCAGAGCTAGTGCGCCATGTTGATAAGACTAAACTGTGACAGAAATAAATGATCTTATATCATAACTACAGCCTGCAGGTTCATTGATCTGCCTGCTGCTGCCTGTCATAAACACACTCAACTGTGCATCCAAACACCCGTCTACGCCTGCTAAATTTATTTCTGTGAAACCCTTCTGCGTCCATTTCAAGCTCTGTTGCAAATCTCCTTTGCTCTGTTTCATTTAGTCTTTTTTTTTATTTCCCCCCCTGTCAGTTCCCTATTTCTAGTACATCAGCATGCCTAAAGAAAATAAAGAAAATTAAAAATATCTAAGCGTCCGGTGAGCTGGTTAGTTGGCAGGTCGTGTAACCAGAGGAGGAACAACGACATACCTGGGCAATGTTCAGAGTCTAGAGAGCGCATGGTAGAGAGACAAACAAACACGACACATAACCAGAGGACAAAAGAAAGAGAGAAGGGGTAGAAACAAAGAAAGAAAGAAAGAAAGAAAAAGAGAGAAAGAAACAGAGCGGGAGGGAAAAGGGGGTGGGTGGGAGAGACAGAGAGAAAGTGGTGACTAAGGAGCTACAGTTCACTGTCTGTTCAGCACAGTTAGCATCAACTCAGCCAAGTTAAACATTCAGATCAGATTCGGTTTCTTTTGTTCATGGCTCATCTCTAAAATAAAGATTTATGTGCCGTACTTGTCAAGGCTTTGTGTTGAGATTAATCTCTTTGGACACGGTTGTGACTGAGCTGAAACTGCATGAACCCAACAGAGAATACTGACATAAGTGCAATATGGGACAAGCTCGCAGCATTGCATTACATGACCTTATATAGATATATATGTATATAAAAAGGAGGGACAATGCAGGGGGCAAAGAAATGTGAAAAGATTAACAGAATAAAATAAGAAACTGGAAAATGTTTATATTCTTTCTGAAAAACTAATCAAATACGTACATAAAAACAAAGAGAAATGAATGGGAAAAACAACAAAAAAGGGAGAAAATAATTAAAAGGGGGGGCAAAGAAAAATGTAGAATGCCTGAGGACAGGAGAGGTGAGTGCAGGGAGCGGACCTGGTGTGAAAGTAAAGAAGAGTTTGATGTACCTGTTTGTTGAGTCCTAACATGTTGCAGACCATCTCTCTCGAGTATGGCTGTTCTAGCACATATCGCAGCAGTCCTGTCTGTGGCTCAAACAGGTCCTACACACAATAACGAAAGAATAAAATCACTATTTAAAAGTGCTAAAAGACGTATGAGGAGAGGAAAAATCTGAGTGACTAGATATTACTTTATCAAAAGGAAGCATGCCCCTCAGGGGGAATCGGAGCGTTGTGGGGTCCAGTTTCCAGGAGTTACAGATGGCCCCGCTGTTATTCACAACTGGCAACAAGCTACATCGACCTGCAGGGCACAGACAAGAAGACACGACTTGGGGTCAAACATGAAAAACAAAAACAAAAGTAAGACGACACTGATCAACACACCACTACAGATAATTGCCTGGATGTTTATAAAGGATTTCCACTACTGACATCATTTTTATTACCTCCGCCAAGAGCGAGGTAATGTTTTTGGTTACGTATGTCTGTCTGTCATTCTGTCTGTGGACAACATTACTCAAAAACTTGTGGACGGATTGTCATGACATTTTTACCACATGTGGGTACTGGGCCAAGGAACACACCTTTAAATTTTGGTGATGTTCTGGATCACGATGCGGATACTAGGGTTGGGCATAATCCTATCGTGTGCAATTAATCGTCAGAAAAACATTAATCGATTAGTTTTTGTCACTTGACGAT